ATATAAGGAAAAACAAATTAATATATATAAAAAAAACTAAGTAATACCATGGATGGATAATAGTAAATCCCTGATTTCCTTCACGAAAATAATTTCATATTTTAAACTTATATATTAGGAAAAATACAAATTCTTCATTATATTAAAAAAATCATCATTAGTCAATCCATTCATATTTAAAAAAAATAAATTTTAGAAATTGTTTTAGACTATATCTGAATTGTAGTTTAAAATGACTCATCATTCTCTCTAATATAAAAATCTTTCTTCTCATTAATTTATTTGTGTTAGTATTTGATTAATATTTATTTATATGATAATAATAGAGTATACTTAATGTTAAACATTAATAGAGTCGGTTTAACCAAAATAAGATGATCTTAACTATTTTAAATGTTTCAAATAAAAAAAAAATTATTTGTGTTAATTAGTGTCATACTAACATTGAATTCTAATTAAAATAAATATTACAAATAAAAAATATTAGTATATGTTAATCTCATTTACTTTTAATTTATATTTATTTAAGTTAACATGTTAAGTGATGTTAATTTTATTTATTTTATTATTTATTTAAGTTATTGTTTATTAGACAAATATTGAAATAATATATTTTCAATATTATTTAAATTAGTGTTAATTAACGTTAATTTATATGTTATGAAATTATACACTTTTTCTTACCATAAATAAGAATTCATGAATAGATTATTTTTAATCTAAATATTCAAATTTAAAAATAATAAATATTCTCTTTAACAATGTTTCTCCCTTATTTTCTGTATAAATATTTTTACATTTATATTTTTCATTCACACTCGTCTCTTTTATTCATTCATTTTTTTTATCCACACCCGTGTCCTTCATCCATATTTATTCTCTTTTACTCAAACATTATTTTTTAATCATCTTCTTTTCCCTCATTAATACTAATATTTTTAATAAACTAAAAATAATTTGCTAAGTCACACAGAGATACAATGGATTATCGCTATTGATTAATTAACACCGATTTTTACTTAATAAAATAAGCCAAAAGTTAACACGTGTTGTTACCGTGTTAAGACATTATATTAGTTTAAAACTTATGGTAAAGAAATTATGAAAAAAAAAATGAAAACTATTTTAATGCTTGAGTAATTAAGCATCAAGTAAAGGATAAAAGTTTTAGGATGTACCATCTTTCTCGTTTCGATCTTAAGGGTAGAATAAAACTAAATCATTAATAAAATAAAATAAATATTTGTAGAATGAAATATAAGTGTAAAATAAAACAAAATGTAGAATAAAAAATAATTGTAAAACTGATTATAAATATTTCTTTTATTATTACAGTAAAACTAAAAAAATAATAAATAAATTATTAATAAAAAATTAATTAATTTTACAATTTATTTACTTTATTTTCCATTATTATTATTATTATTATTATTTATTACTTTCTTTTTTTACCATCCAAACAAAAATGAGGATAAAGGTGGAGACATGTAGAAGATCCCCTCTTTGACCAATGGATTGTTTCAAATAATATAAAAAAAATGACTGGAGCTGATAGTGGAAGTGGGTGCATTTTATTTTATTCTTTACTGTAATAATTTTATATGAATTAAAATAGAGTATAAAGAAATGAAAGGAAGACTTATATCAAATTTGTACTTTTTTTTCTTGAGTTGAGAGAGAAAAAAAAAAAGAAAAGAAAGAAAACAATTTTAAACTATCACCAAATTTTAAAATATAATGTACAATTAATTTGTAGAATTTTATACTAATAATACCAGTAATAATTTATAATTTAATAAACTGCCATAACATATTCGAATTCCTTCTATATATTTAAACTAAAAGGGAAGAAAAATTAACTTATTCTGAATTTTTTTAAACATATTATAAATGTTTCTAAAACAAAAAGCAATAAAGTTACTCATTTGTCAAATAATAAATTTTAGAGTAAAAATTTAAGATATAAATTGTAAGAATAATTGTTTTTTTTTTTACGTTTTTGGATAAAAATTAAATTGTTATTACGAATTTAGACAATTTTTTTTTACTTACATACTAGTACATCCATACGAATTACTAAAGAGATTTTTGCATAAAAAAGTTGTCACATACACTCATTATGAATTGGATCAATTAAATATGAGTGTAAATTATTTAAATTCAGTATAAATTATTTCTTTGAGTATAGAGGAAACAATTAATCCATGATGAGTATAAAGGAAACATAAGTATTTATTATCAAATATGAGTGTAAATTATTTAAATTAAGTATAAATTATTTAATTCAGTATAAAAGAAATAATTGATCTAATTTATTATTAGTATAAAGGATTTAAATTCAGTATAAAAGAAATAATTGATCTAATTTATTATTAGTATAAAGGATTTAAATTCAGTATAAAGGAAATAATTGATCTAATTTATGACGAATATAAAGGAAACATGAGTGTAAATGATTTAAATTATGTATAAATTATTTAATTGAGTATAAAAAAAATAATTGATCGAATTTATGAGGAGTATAAAAGAAAATGAGTATTTAATTAAGTATAAAGAAAACAATTAATCAAATTTATGATGAGTATAAAGGAAACATGATAACTTTTTTATGCACAAATCTCTTTCCTAATTTGAATTTTCATCAATGTAATTAATGTAATTCATATTTTAACTTAGTTTTAACCTTTTTTTTCCTCTGATAATCGATTACAACAACATTGTAATCTATTACTAGACCTTTTATTCAAATTTCAGCACTGATAATTGGTTACCAGTAAAGTCGTGACCTCCCTACACAACTTTAACAATGTGTAATCGGTCATAGATGTTCGTAATCGATTATCAGTGTTTGAAAACGTGTGAAGTACACAATCGATTAGCAGTGTTTGAAAACGTGTGGAGTATACGATTTCACCTTTTTTGTTGTGACAGTGTAGAAGTCGTGCACTCCTGCACAACTTTTTCATTTAAAGTCGTGTGAGGACTGCAGGACTTGCCCATTTACGTAAACTAAAAAAATTGTCTAGATCTATAATAATGAATTAATTTTCCCTAAAAACGTAAAAAAAATCGAATAATTCAAATATAAATTTAATTTCTACATTGAATATAAATGATAAAATTAAATATTATACAAGAAAATAAATTTCTAAACTTAATATTATAATCTCTTCCCGATGACTTCCATAAAAAAATCATACATTAAGTAAAAATAATAAAATTAAAGAGTATAAAAAAAATTCACAAAAAAAAATTATGAAAAAATTCTTCCACTTTTCTACTCCTTATTATCTCCACCTCTCTAAATAAGACATCATACTTACTATATTTATCATCTACTTTTTATCCTTCATATTTCTTATTAATATTTCTTTGACCTCAAATTCAATCACAATACAAACAAAACATAACCGGTGTACTATGACATGAAAAAAAGGACATTTTAATGTACTCCTTTTGTTAATGTTAGGTGAATTATGTCGATGTTGTTCTTGCTGTTCTCTTCAACTCCTGTTTTGTTTAGTTATTATTATGCGTAGGACAGGGTACAAGAGCACAAGCTTTAAACAATCATACATGTTTTCTGTTAAATGATACAAATCAGTTTCATAATCACACAGCTCAGTGAGAAGACTAATGAATTTTCATGAACCCTATATCTCTGGATCATATACATTGTACTTAACGACATATATTTCATTTCAACATTTTATCTAATAATTAACTCCATATTTCTTCTAAAGGAAAAAAGGTTGGTAGTTTACTACATACCCTCCACGCATTCTTCAATTTTTTTTTATGGATTTTCATCTAATGTAGTATATTTAAAACTATATGACAATAGTTTATTTTTTACTTTTTGTTTGGTTCTCGTGACTGTTATTTGGTAGACTCGTGACTATGATTTACGAGAGATTTGAGAAAAAATATTTAATATAATGAAAGGGTAAAAAAAACTACAATTAGTCGTGTATGGAAAAATTATAATTTGATAACAATTACTTTAAAATACGTCTTTCATAATTTCACATTTTTTAAAACAAAATAGAATGGAATTAACAGGATATTATTAAATTATATATTAATTATCTTTGTTACAATAAGTAAACCATGTACAATCGAATCATTAAATTTTTCTGTTATATTTTAAATTAGAGAAAGTTACATTTTGACAATAAGTTAGAGAGTGCTTAACTTTATTACTCTCTTAATAAAAAAAAATTATATATATGAATTATATTTATTGATATAATGACTAGTACTGTTTTTGAAGTCTTGATCTGTCAACGAGAGAGCGGATCAACGGACTTATAATACATAAAAATATATAAATTATTAAATTTAATTATTTTTATTCACCTAAGTGAATTTTATCTCTTCTTTTTTTCATATTCAGAAACATGCTGAAAAATATTGGCAACTCATCATAGGATAAATTTATTGATTTTTATCATATGTACGAGGGCGTTATTGAAAAAAAAAAAAAACACATTCACACATATGACCTTATTCTAAACTTTATTCCTACATAATCTCGTAAATACTCCAAAATGGATCTTTTGGTATGAAAGTTAGTCCATAAACACACACTGAATTGTTTTCCCACACGTTGTTATATGTTATGAGTGTCCATGTTCAAACAACATTGTTTGGGATAAGATATTCCATTAATTTCTGTGGACATATACCTCACCGTCCTTAGAATTTATAAGAAGAAAGATGATTGGTTTTCAGAAAAATAGCTGAACTCAACTAAAACATCCACGTCGTGTTCTAGAAATGGTGGCAAGTTTGTGAGAAAACTGTGGTAGAATTATGGGAATAAATTCTGTTGAATTTGGAAAGAAGATGATTGTATTGATCGGCAACAAAAACATTGGCATATATAAGCACTAAACCAAAACTGTAGTCTTCAGCAGTAGGAGTTTAGTATATATAAAATGAAAGAAATGAAAGAAATGAAAGAGATCCCCATCAAATGAAATTCCCACTATATATATAGGTTGAGTCACGCATCAAATTCCCATCAAATAGCCATAACCATCTCACACAATAACCACCCTTTTACTTCTCATTTCTCAACCCAACAACAACATCATCAGCAACATCAACATATCCTCGTATATTACCACCATGGCTATGGTGGTCCTCACACCCCTTTTGCTCATACTCCCTATTCTCCTACTTAAACTCCTCTACGACAACCTCTCGTGTTACTGGTTCACCCCTCTACGCATAAAAAAGATCATGGAGATGCAAGGTGTCCGTGGCCCCAAACCTAGTTTCTTCACAGGCAACATCTTGGACATGGCTTCCCTTGTCTCCAAAACAACCTCCCAAGACATGAAAACCATAAGCCACGACATTGTTGGTCGTCTTCTCCCACATTTCTTGCTTTGGTCTATCCAATTTGGTATGTACGTACATAAACATTACACATATACATATGTATGTATATGTATGTGAACATAATAATATCAATCAAACTCATACTTTATACATATATGTATGATATCTGTTATGTAATTAATTAAGTTAATTGAACGTGTAAGGTAAAACCGGGGATTTGACTGTGTAGGAAAGAGATTTCTATATTGGAATGGAACAGAACCGAGGCTTTGTCTCACTGAGACCGAATTGATCAAAGAGTTCCTTTCAAAATACAGTACGGTATCTGGGAAATCCTGGCAGCAAAGGCAGGGTTCAAAGAATTTCATTGGGCAAGGACTGTTGATGGCAAATGGTGAAGATTGGTACCACCAACGTCACATCGTTGCCCCTGCATTCATGGGAGACAGACTTAAGGTATCGATACTCTTGTAAAATTTTTACTGTTTTCGAGTCTACCCTTTTCATCTTTTTCGAATTCTGGGGTATCATGGATTGTCTCTTTGTTTCTTTGGGTTGTACTAACGGTTACAAATGGTTCTTGTCCAAAACTATCTCCAGAGCTATGCTGCACACATGGTGGAATGCACTAAGGAGATGCTCCAATCACTCAAAATTGCGTCAGAGTGTGGCCAAACTGAGGTGGAGATTGGTCACTACATGACTAAACTCACTGCAGATATTATCTCTAGGACTGAGTTTGGTACAAGCTATCAGAAAGGGAAGAAAATATTCCACCTTCTCACACTGCTGCAGAGTCGTTGTGCTCAAGCAAGCCGTCATCTTTGCTTTCCCGGAAGCAGGTTTCTCACCTCACAAACTCTTTTCTAAGCCACCCTTTTGATTTCTCTTCACAAAAAGATCCATGGCGTGTTTGGAAACTCATCAAAAAGTTAAAAAAAAGTTAAAAAAAAAAAGAAAAAAGCACGTTTAGAAACGCGAAAACTGTAACAATTATAGATTAACTTTGTGCTATTCTAATTCTACATGCAGTGTTTGGTTCTGTACGAGATAGAAATGTGGATTGGATTCCTTGCTTTTTTATCCCGAAGCATGTGAATAATCACATTTATATTTGTTATTCCATGGTTAGCATTATGGCTGTGTCGGTCTTATTCCATCTTTATTGTTTTATCTGAAAGCATTTGTCTGTCCCTGTCCCCCACCCTTTTTCATCTGTGTGTATAGGTTTTTCCCAAGCAAGTATAACAGAGAGATAAAGTGTTTGAAGATGGAGGTGGAGACTCTGCTGATGGAGATCATACAAAGCAGAAAAGACTGTGTGGAGATCGGAAGAAGCAACTCTTATGGGAATGATCTGTTGGGTATGCTCCTGAACGAGATGCAGAAGAAAAAAGGGAATGGAAACAGCATCAATCTGCAGCTAGTGATGGATCAATGCAAAACATTTTTCTTTGCCGGACACGAAACCACTGCCCTTTTACTCACTTGGACAGTCATGTTACTCGCCAGCAACACATCATGGCAGGACAAAGTCCGAGAAGAGGTTAGAACTGTCTGCAATGGAGAAATTCCTTCTTTGGATCACCTCTCCAAGCTCACTCTTGTAAGTACCAAAATCACTTTTTCTTCACCACAAACTTTATCTTAATTTTAATACATTTTTTTTTTCATTTAAAGCATATATATATATATATATATATATACACATTCTTTAAAGTTTAAACCTTTGAGGAAGGTTAAAAACCTATTTTTTGATTTCACAAAAAGAGAGAGAGGCTTATTTTAGGCTACTTTTAGGGGATCGGAAGTTGGTCAAATTTGTATCTTAAATAAATTTGTTTTCTTTTTTTAATTAATTTTGAATTTTATACAATTTTACTTTTAGTGGTGTCAAGTATTGCTTTTTATAGAGCCTACACAACTGTTGCTTTTAAAACCCAGCACGAGCCAGTTTTAGGAAAACTTTAATCGGGTGGTCCATACAATTTATTAAAATGAAAAAAAGAAAAAAAAATAGTTTTATGAACATGTTGAGCCCGCAGTTTCTTGGCCAAAAGGCTAATTAATATAAATTTCTTAGGCTTTTGAGTTATTATTATTAGCACGACGATCAGAAGGGACAGCTAAGAAATATTTTAGTGTAACCCAAATATATGTGCATAAAGAAACAAACAAACAAAAAATAATTTATATAAGCATCATCTTTGCACCCGTGCGCCGGTAGTTGCTCTTATTTTAAACAATAATATTTATAATAATGCTTATCTTTCTCTTTAGAGTGTCCAAAGAGCGCAAAAAGTTTCAAGCTAATTCATTCATTTTCTGAATAACGATACGGCAATACTTTTTTCAGCCAAGAGAATGCTAAGAATTTCAATCTCTGTCATTTTCTCGTTTGTATTTTTCTCAAAAAGAAGTTAAAACCATAAATAAAACTAATTTAAATCATAAATAAAACCATTTTAGAATATATATATATATATAAAAATAAATATCCCACGCCACCTTACACAAAAGGAAAATAAGTTGACCCTACTCAACTCAATGGCACGGTTCTCAGCTACCCACTTGAAAATTTACAGATTTTCTCGTAATTATTATATTTAAATGGTAGATTTTCCTAAAGGTGGTCAAAGATTGAGCATTAATTTTGGTTTAGGTTGATGGGCAACACAAGAATAATAATAATAGTAATTATTATTATTATTATTAGAATGAAGTAACGAAAGTTGTTAATTGATTTTTGTTCAGTTGCACATGGTGATTAACGAATCACTGAGGTTGTATCCTCCAGCATCGGTGCTTCCGAGAATGGTGTTTGAAGACATAGTACTAGGTGACCTTTACATCCCAAAGGGGCTGTCGATTTGGATCCCTGTGTTGGCCATTCATCACAGCGAAAAGCTATGGGGAAAAGATGCAAACGAGTTCAACCCAGAGAGGTTCAGTTCGAAGTCATTCGTTCCCGGTCGTTTTCTACCCTTTGCTTCTGGTCCTAGAAATTGCGTTGGACAAGCCTTTGCTTTAATGGAAGCTAAGATCATATTAGCCATGTTGATTTCTCGGTTCAGCTTCACCATTTCTGAAAATTACCGTCATGCCCCCGTCGTCGTTCTCACCATCAAGCCCAAATATGGGGTTCAGGTTTGTTTGACGCCATTGGAGCCATGAGGGATCTTCCATTTTCAGAGATGAAAGAGAGTTTTTGTCTTTTATGGTGCGGATATATATAATATACTATATCTATATAACAATGGTCATCTTGATCTTGATGAGCATTCTTGTAATTTTTTATTTCGACTTTTTTTACAACCATCGCGGGAGATAGAGATGAAATAATGATTGCAAGGATTAGGATATGTAAATTAGAAGAAACTTGAATGAAAGAACACGTATTTATCTCTTCATCGTGCTTCGATTGAGTTTTTAGATCAATCTCCCACTCACACATGCAACACGAGAGACAAAGAAATTGGAGGAACTGTTCAGATAAAGTTTCTAAATCAATTATTTTTGTTAGTAAGTTAAAGGTTTGAGTGAAAATGAATAAAATAAATAAATAAATGTATAAGAAAAACGAGGTGATTTAGATGAAGTGGTGAATGAAAAATAAGGCAAGTTGAGTGTAGGGTAGGGATCTCCATTTTGGAGTTAAAAGGGGTTTTTTTGTTTTGTTTTCTGAGGCATCTTATCATCTGCTTCCACCAGGCCTCGATTCTGCTTCTTCCACTACTTACTTTTTATCATTCTTTTATTGCAACCATCATTTCTTTCTCACTTCTACTAAGTTGTGCTCCATTTTTATATCTACGCACCATGCAAAAACCTTTTTGTTTAGGTTTCACTTTTAAGATTCAATTTCTCTCTTCGTACGTGTCAATGATTCATTTAGTTGAATTCAGTTTCATCACCATCACCAGTTGCCAATTCTCACATCAACTCTTCATCCAACCCAAGCCCACTTAGCCCAAAAACACCTTCTCAATTACTACAAACTTTTTCATCTTACAATACAACTCCATTACTTTCATTTACTATTTCATCTCGTTGCTTCAATTCACTCTTTTAAATACTCACATCAAATTATGCTTGAGTGATTCATATATGTTTCTAAGATCGAGTCAAGTGTTTTTCTCACAACAATAGTCTTCAAACTCTAAGCACGGACTAAAATTCTTCTTTAATCGAGAAAAGGTACTTCAATGCTAAAGTTAGTAAGAATCTAACAGTATTAGCAATAAATGTGCAATGAATGTAACCTACCACAATACCACAAACATGTATTTATAGATGCAAGGTGGACTTCTGGTTAGCACTGGCCTAATTATGATCCAATTAGTATTGGTCTAACTTAAGCTTAACATAGTAATCCTTAACATTAACTTCAATTTAATCTGACTGCTCGGCCACCCGACCCGTTCCTATGGAGTCATAGACTGGTCAATCATCTAGTTCTTAGGCTGACCAGATGGTCATACTATACAGTATATATGAACATATATCATTTGTCTTGTATGAGATCTTTGATTTTCAAACATCACTTATGATTCATTAGTGCTGCTTTAAGTCTAAATCAATCACAGTTATAAGAAAAATCATTTAGATGATACAACTACACGTATAAAAATCAATTAGTTGAGTTTATTGAATTTCTTAAAAGTTATATTATAAACATACAAATTATACTTTGATTAATCATTATAAACTTGTTAGGAACTATGAGATTAAAAGTCTAAGAATACTACGCACCACCGTCATGGCAACTATAATACTTTACAAATCATATGTATTACCTTGTATGTTCAATGGTGGAACATTATAACTCTTATATCCATTAACACTCTTTTGAACAAAAATGTATTTCAATCTATAATAAATGTTAGGAATTCGAGTTTAATTTTTAAATTAAATAAGAATAATGAAGGTCAACACTATATAAGAACAAAGCAAAATCTTATAAATTCATTATCTGAAACTTTTGAATTGGGGAAGATATCAATTTTTTATGTATGGTTGTGTCTCATTATTGTTATTGTTATGTCTTACAAACGATTATTCTTTAAAAAATTCATAAATATTTCATAATCAAAGATTTGTATTGTGTCTTTATGGTGATTTTTCCTTCTTGAAATGTGTAAAAAAGTTTGAGATTGCTTATAAGAGTTCATATCTTCTATGCCAATGAAAAATAGTTTTTTTTTATTTGTTTACATTTCGACTCTAATATCTCAAGTGACAGACGTCTTTTTATTACACTAATTTAATGGTGTGATAATTTTGTTTTTAAAACAATAGAAGATATCCTCTTTGCAAATATTATAAAACACACTCAAAGGCATCTTCCACTTTGACTCAAAGTGGTGGTTATTTAAGTTGGAACAATCTCAATCAAACCTTATTATTTCTTGGTAACTCTAAAACTTTTAGACAAAATGCTGGGATTATATGTGGAACATATTCGACCTTAATGTCTTGAAAGAAAGAAAAAGAGAATGATGCGACAGTTAAAAAAAAAAATCAGAAAAATGATGAAATGCAGAAGGGTCGTGCTTGATATCTAGTTATCAAGTTACTTTAACGATACAAGGTGCAATGTTTTTTAATAGAAAATTATATAGTGTGCGAGAAGCATTTCTGACCCTTTAATTAGTTATTTAATATACATATCTTGTTTGACTGATGCAGGTGAAAATCCCAGCAAAATCCCACTAAGCAATGTAGTAGAGTTGGAAGATTATGATTATAAGATCGATGATCTTCTTTGAGTTTCGGGCACATTTGGGGCAATATCTTGGATTAGTGTTGTAAAATCAGTATAAAAAGTGGTTGATTATGCTTTAATAATTGTACGCATGATGATATATTGGTGTATGATCATTACGTGAATGATCATCTTCATAATGCTGCGTGCCACTGGGATATATATAGGCCACCTTTTAGGGTTCCTGTGCCCCATCAACATTAATCGAAGAAGCTACTCTTAACTATCATTTTACATGCCAAACTTATAATCTAACAAAATACCACTCTTAACTCATTCTTCTCTGTTTCGTATCTTGATTATTCTATATTGATTAAAGATACAATCACACTTTTTCAATATGTTTTTCGTCTTTAAATTAATTTTCAAAAATTATGTTTTGTGTTTAAGTTAAATATATATTTATTTTGTTTTCATATTTTATAAAAGTAATGTAAAATATTGTTTTTGACAAACAATATATTGTTTCATGGGCTAAGTGAAAATAAACTATAATATAAGGATAAAATATGTTTATATTTGATCTGGAGATGAGACATATTTTTTTAAAGTACGAGAACAACAAATATATTTAACTTCAAAATAAGTTTATAGTCTATGCATAGAAATAATCTTCACTTTATATTAAAAATAAATATATCATTAACACAAAAAGGGTTTTTTAAGTTATCAATTCCAGCAAAATCTCATGTAAAAAATGTACAATAATACTTTTATAAATATTCAGTCTAAATTGACATCATGTTCACCTTCTAATAAACGGTTAATTCTCTGTTTAACGTTAATCATAAGCCCAACAAACTTCAAATAACATTAAATTATCCTAAAATTGATATTAGGTGAGGAATTAATATCTATTGGAATGTGATTTAATGTCAATTAACCTTTTAAAATTTCAAATAAAAGTGTCAATCCTCAGTTTTCTCTTTTTCGTTTGTGCAAAACCTCTCACCAAAGTGCAATGATGGTGTCGAAATCGTAAAAGCAAGTTCTTTTACTCATTTTATAAATCTTACCTTTGTGCTGCTCATTTGGGCTCAAACTTTCATTCTCCCTTGTTGCATTTCGCATTAAGGTTAGTGTTTTTATTTATTCTAAACCCTAAATCCTGATTTTGTAAAATTCACTAAAAAAAATAGAAAATAATTTTGACTTAAATTGTTTTGTAATAACTTCTATTGGGTTGTATTCAAATACAAAGTGTTGACATCTGACATATTGGTCAGATTCATAGTCATCAAGATTTGGTGATTAATTAAAAACCTCATATGGTCATAACTTTTACTATAGACCTCGAATGAGATTGAGACATTTCAAAAATAAAAGTTGTTGGAAATGGAGTGACAAATGTGAGTGGGGTCTCAAATTTCAAAAGTTTCATCATTTTCAGTATGTTTTTTATTTTCACCAATTTTTTTATATTTACAGTTTTATTTGAGATATATCCATGCTACTTAAAAAATTCTGAAATTTTTTGTGGTGTATTATTGTATTAAAGAAATAAATTTTGGCTTGAAAATTTTGAAGAAAAAAACATAAATTAACATTTGTTTTCCTTACCATAGACGTAAATTAAAATATGTTTTAAATGCAATAGACGTTAGTTAACGTTTATTTGTAAAGACAACAAACATTAATTTATATCTCTCAATATAACCCACTTAGAAAACTTAAAATAACATACTTAAAAATATTTTTCTCTCTTAGTGTATGTAAAAGTTATCTTACATTTCTAAATTAAATATATGTCTATCTTGTTCATATATTTTATAAATGTTATGTAAAATATATTTTCTAACAAATGACATGTAGTTACATGTCACAAATAGAGTTACACAATAATATAATATAACCTTTACTAGTTATTTAGGAATAATATTTTACATGACTTTCATAAAATTTAAAAATGAAATATGTATATATTTTGTTTGGAGATGAAATATAATTTTTAAAAATAGTTTGGAAAGGAAGAATATATTTAACCCAAAAGTATCTTATAATATGAGTAAAAATAATCTTTACTATACAAACTAATTAATTTTGTGAAAATAAATCAGACTTAATCTTAATTTTTAATATTTACCAACAAAAAATGAAAATATTAAATAAATCTGAGCTGTGACTATTGTTAATTAACCCTAAGAGTTTTCATACCTAAAATTTTGTGGTGTGGATATTATTCTATAAGTGAATACTACTGTGCAAACTTAGTGAGTTGATATGATATTTAATAAGGAATGTGGAGAATGGAAAGAATTAAAAACTGTGTTACCTAAAATGCATTATATAAAAAGAAGTAAACTGAGTTTAACGCATTTACTTTTAGAAGCTTTGAACGACTATGTTATGTCCCGTAATTGAATTAAACTTAATGATTAAAACTTGTGACTTTGAAGAAGAATCACAAGCATAACTTCATTGGAAAATCATGGTTTCTCTTGTTCCTTATTAGATGGATTGATTATATGCATCTCCATTAATGATGTTGAAATGAAAAGTAAGCTTTTTCTCGATTACCAAAAGAAATTTTATGTTGCTAATCACATCATCCTTTCAGATACATCCAGTTTCAGGTCAATTGAACGGTAGTGGAATGCTTGCAAATCTTTAATTTTTTAAATTATATATACATAAATATCTCAGT